GCAATATTTGTAAAAACGATAACTTCGGTGATTTCGGACATTTCGCATTGTCGCAGAACGTTCAAAATAGCTTTATCCTCTAAGTCACACCCACTTTCCCAGTAAAACCGAAGAAATCGTAACGATGCGACAAGTAGTTGCTGAGATCTACTCAAAACAAAAGAAGAATAATAATAATAACTAGAACTGCGAAGCAGTAATGACGGGTTTCACCGGTGCCACGTTACCCTTGAACTTATGTCACTTCCGGTACCAATGAAACCGTTAAACAGGTTTCCACATAAGCATTGCACACATGAAATAAAATGGACGCAGAAACAACCAAATCCAGCAATCAATTCATTTGCTACATGTCAGTGATCCTGTCAAAATTACATTACTTCCGGTGATAATGAAAATGTTAAATTGGTTTATGAAATCAGAAATAGCATCATCACATGTTGAAAATTTTATGTAAATCCTATAATAATTGCCACCTTTATAGACCAAAAACCTTGAAAAATGACTTGTAGAAAATCGCCTATTTCTCTGCAACCGTACAAGTTAGAAACCATTTTGAGGTATCTGTATGATCGAATGAGTTCATTCTATTTGTTGATTGGAATCAAATATCATAATTTTAAAAACATTACAAATCTGATTCATTTGAATAAAATATCTGTTTTGAAGGCTAAAAATACAGTTTTTGCCAAAATGACGTTACTTCCGGTGATAATGAAAATCTTAAATTACTTGTATGATATCGTAAATGGCATTATGTATCACACAGTGAAAATTTCATGAAAATCGAATAATAATTGACACTTTTTTTGACAAAAAAACCTTAAAAAGTGACCTGTTGAAAATTGCCTATTTCTCCGCAACTGAACAAGTTAGAAACCATTTTGTGATATCTATATGATCGTAAGGGTTCATTGTATTAGTTGATTTGAATCAAATATCAAAATTTTAAACAAATAACAAATATGACTCATTTGAATAAATTACTGGTTTCGAAGGCTATAAATACAATTTTTGCCCAAATTACGTCATTTCCGGTGATATTGAAAATGTTAAATTGGTTTGACCTAGTTAAAATTGACATTACACATCAAATGGTGTCACTTTTATGAAAATCGAATAATAATTGACTCTTTTACAGGCAAACTAGCGTAAAAAGTGACTCATGCAAAATTGCCCATTTCTCGGCAACTGCGCATATTACAAATTAATTTTCACATACATTCTCTCCGTATAGATTATTGCTACGAGTTTATGAAAGTTACGAAGTAATATTTTAAAATATGAAAACGCTGAATGGGTTGTAAATAGCTTAATTTTACACCTTTTTTCACCTTTTAATCGAAATAGCCCGAAAACGGAATCGAAATTTAAAAAAATGGTCCCAACATTTTGTGCGCCTTTAAAGGGCGCACAATTTCAGTTATACCAGATTTGAAAAAAATAATATTTGCTTTCGAAAAATGGTACCTAACTGTCAAAATTGTAGTTTTTTGTCAATTTACGCCACTTCCGGTGCCGACAGATAACACTATTGGTAACAAAAAAAATGACAATTGAGACAACGGGGCATATGAACTTTGTTTTATACAAATCGAACAATAAATAATTAATCTAGGACTGAAAAACTGAATTAGCCAATGGGGGCCAAGGAAAATTACCGAGACAAAAAATTTTCACATTTTTGCCCAAGTCAGAGGACTCGTTATATTTGTGTAAAACACGATTAAAAAATATTCATAAATAAAAAAGTTTTTTGTAAAAATTTAAATTTTCTAAATTTAGCGCCTAATATCTGCGAAGATTTGCCGAAAATCAAAAATCAAAAGTAGCGTAGCTATGTGCCCCGTCTCCGGCTATGCCAAAATGCATCGAAAGTTAAAATCCAATGATTATTGTTAAAATTACTGCAATATTTCTAAAAACGATAGCTTCGGTGATTTCGGACATTTCGCATTGTCGCAGAACGTTCAAAATAGCTTTATCCTCTAAGTCACACCCACTTTTCCGATAAAACCGAAGAAATCGTAACGATCCGACAATCAGTTGCTGAGATCTACTCAAAACAAAAGAAGAATAATAATAATAAGAATAATAATTTTAACAAAAACAATAGTGTTTCACACAAGCTACGCAGTGTGAAACCCTAATAAGAATAATAATTTTAACAAAAACAATAGTGTTTCACACAAGCTTCGCAGTGTGAAACCCTAATAATAATTTTAACAAAAACAATAGTGTTTCACACAAGCTTCGCAGTGTGAAACCCTAACTAGAACTGCGAAGCAGTAATGACGGGTTTCACCGGTGCCACGTTACCCTTGAACTTATGTCACTTCCGGTACCAATGAAACCGTTAAACAGGTTTCCACATAATCATTGCACACATGAAATAAAATGGACGCAGAAACAACCAAATCCAGCAATCAATTCATTTGCTACATGTCAGTGATCCTGTCAAAATTACATTACTTCCGGTGATAATGAAAATGTTAAATTGGTTTATGAAATCAGAAATAGCATCATCACATGGTGAAAATTTTATGTAAATCCTATAATAATTGCCACCTTTATAGACCAAAAACCTTGAAAAATGACTTGTAGAAAATCGCCTATTTCTCTGCAACCTTACAAGTTAGAAACCATTTTGAGGTATCTGTATGATCGAATGAGTTCATTCTATTTGTTGATTGGAATCAAATATCATAATTTTAAAAACATTACAAATCTGATTCATTTGAATAAAATATCTGTTTTGAAGGCTAAAAATACAGTTTTTGTCAAAATGACGTTACTTCCGGTGATAATGAAAATCTTAAATTACTTGTATGAAATCGTGAATGGCATTATGTATCACACAGTGAAAATTTCATGAAAATCGAATAATAATTGACACTTTTATTGACAAAAAACCTTAAAAAGTGACCTGTTGAAAATTGCCTATTTCTCCGCAACTGAACAAGTTAGAAACCATTTTGTGATATCTATATGATCGTAAGGGTTCATTGTATTAGTTGATTTGAATCAAATATCAAAATTTTAAACAAAAAACAAATATGACTCATTTGAATAAATTACTGGTTTCGAAGGCTATAAATACAATTTTTGCCCAAATTACGTCATTTCCGGTGATATTGAAAATGTTAAATTGGTTTGATCTAGTTAAAATTGACATTACACATCAAATGGTGTCACTTTTATGAAAATCGAATAATAATTGACTCTTTTACAGGCAAACTAGCGTAAAAAGTGACTCATGCAAAATTGCCCATTTCTCGGCAACTGCGCATATTACAAATTAATTTTCACATACATTCTCTCCGTATAGATTATTGCTACGAGTTTATGAAAGTTACGAAGTAATATTTTAAAATATGAAAACGCTGGATGGGTTGTAAATAGCTTAATTTCACACCTTTTTTCACCTTTTAATCGAAATAGCCCGAAAACGGAATCGAAATTAAAAAAAATGGTCCCAACATTTTGTGCGCCTTTAAAGGGCGCACAATTTCAGTTATACCAGATTTGAAAAAAATAATATTTGCTTTCGAAAAATGGTACCTAACTGTCAAAATTGTAGTTTTTTGTCAATTTACGCCACTTCCGGTGCCGACAGATAACACTATTGGTAACAAAAAAAATGACAATTGAGACAACGGGGCATATGAACTTTGTTTTATACAAATCGAACAATAAATAATTAATCTAGGACTGAAAAACTGAATTAGCCAATGGGGACCAAGGAAAATTACCGAGACAAAAATTTTTCACATTTTTGTCCCAACATTTTGTGCGCCTTTAAAGGGCGCACAATTTCAGTTATACCAGATTTGAAAAAAATAATATTTGCTTTCGAAAAATGGTACCTAACTGTCAAAATTGTAGTTTTTTGTCAATTTACGCCACTTCCGGTGCCGACAGATAACACTATTGGTAACAAAAAAAATGACAATTCAGACAACAGGGCATATGAACTTTGTTTTATACAAATCGAACAATAAATAATTAATCTAGGACTGAAAAACTGAATTAGCCAATGGGGACCAAGGAAAATTACCGAGACAAAAAATTTTCACATTTTCGCCCAAGTCAGAGGACTCGTTATATTTGTGTAAAACACGACTAAAAAATATTCATAAATAAAAAAGTTTTTTGTAAAAATTTAAATTTTCTAAATTTAGCGCCTAATATCTGCGAAGATTTGCCGAAAATCAAAAATCAAAAGTAGCGTAGCTATGTGCCCCGTCTCCGGCTATGCCAAAATGCATCGAAAGTTAAAATCCAATGATTATTGTTAAAATTACTGCAATATTTCTAAAAACGATAGCTTCGGTGATTTCGGACATTTCGCATTGTCGCAGAACGTTCAAAATAGCTTTATCCTCTAAGTCACACCCACTTTTCCGATAAAACCGAAGAAATCGTAACGATCCGACAATCAGTTGCTGAGATCTACTCAAAACAAAAGAAGAATAATAATAATAAGAATAATAATTTTAACAAAAACAATAGTGTTTCACACAAGCTACGCAGTGTGAAACCCTAATAAGAATAATAATTTTAACAAAAACAATAGTGTTTCACACAAGCTTCGCAGTGTGAAACCCTAATAATTTTAACAAAAACAATAGTGTTTCACACAAGCTTCGCAGTGTGAAACCCTAATAATTTTAACAAAAACAATAGTGTTTCACACAAGCTACGCAGTGTGAAACCCTAATAATTTTAGTAATCACAATAGGCTTTCAGACAAATAATAATTTTAGTAAAAACAATAGTCTTTCAGACAAAGTCTGAAAGCCTAATAATAATTTTAGTAAAAACAATAGTCTTTCAGACAAAGTCGAAATAATAATAATTTTAGTAATCACAATAGGCTTTCAGACGAAAGTCTGAAAGCCTAATAATAATTTTAGTAAAAACAATAGTCTTTCAGAAAGCCTAATAATAGGACCACAGATGGAGGCAGACCATCATCAAATTTCACCATTTCGGTACCGTCTATTTATAGCAATTCTCTCTCTGTCTCTTTTCTCTCCTTTTGTATGCCCATTTTTGTTGAGTGTTTGGTCTAGACTGGGCGAAGAGGGTTTGAATTAACATCTTCTGCCAGGTTTTGGTAAATATTCATGATTTTGATTGGTCGAACTTAAACTTCTAGTAATAATATCAAACCGAAGACATTCTTAGTGTATAAAATCAGTTAACAAGTGATATGCCATTTCACATTCCAACATGAGGAATGGATACAGTCTCAGATTGGGTTGAGTGGGGTTCTTGTAGCGTTTGAACTACCGACCATGAAACGACTGCGGTAAACAGATCAATGTCCTTTAATCTTATTATAATTCATATTGACGTTTCAGCGATGTTTTTAACATTTGCCAAAATATATCTTTGTTGTCATTATCTTGCCATTTGATATAAGTAGTAGTTTTCAATAGAGCGTTCAGTGGTTTACTCATATTAACTGCTTCAATATCCTCTAGTAATACTACTACTATAGACTCTATACTCGTATCTATAACCAATTTCTGAGCTAAACTCATTTCAAATTGACACCATTTACTTCTAGCAAAATCATTGGACAAAATAACAAGAACTTTCCGACTGTCTTCCATGTGTTGTACAATATTATCAATGATCAGTTGTCCACCAAGAAAATCTCTTTCGTGGATACACAACTTAATGTTTTCACCTTCTTCCACGATAGGTAGAAGATCATGTAAAACCCAGTCTCCATCTTCTATACAGTAAGCAACAAAGGCGTCATGAGCAAAGTGTTTCTCTGCAATATCCAGCAGCTGTTTCGGTCTGTATCTCCACATATAAATATGATATTTAATATGCCAGATATATTTGTTGATAACAGAAGCGATCAAAATAACACAGATAAAAAAACATGTTACTGTTGTCACAGAGATAAACGCTCCGGTGTTATTCAAACAAATTCTCTCTGTTATATTCAGACATCTATAGCCGTCCGGATAATCCCAAAACTTGTTTGGTTCCCTATGAATCCACTGAATCAACCAAACCAATTCACACTTACATACGAGCGGATTATCATTTAAAGATATTATTTTCAATCTTGTCATAAACACTTCAGGCAACATTTTACTTGTAACAGTCTGAATTAAATTATGACCTGCGTTAAAGTTTTTTAATTTAATGTTTCTTTCAAAGAAATTATTTGGCCAGGATTTAATCAGATTCCAGCTAACATCTAAATAAGTAAGATTATGATAATATCGGATGGCAGTAGGTATTTTCTGTAACTTACAACCCAACAAAAATAACTGTTTAAGTGATTTCAGAGGAGCTATCGTTTCACTTAGTTTATCCTCCATTTTAAAAAAATTATTTTCAGCCGATCTAATCCATAAAATGCATGTTCATCCAGGCGGTTAGTAGTCAAAATGTTCTTTGCTAGGTCTAAAATTAGCAGTTTGCTGTTGTTGAACGCACGTTCGTGTATATAAAATGTTCTACTCTGTCCTGCGATAGACAACGAACTAAGAGACTTGAATGAATGAAAATAATCTGTTTTTAATGAGTCAATGGCGTTTAAACTCACATCCAGGACTTCAAGCTTTTCCAAGCAGTTTATATATTCCGGAACGAAATTACCAATCATGTTGCTTTGTAGTAGCAATTTTGTTAAATCTGGAAAGGAGTTCTGGCTAAGACAAAGGTTTGGTAAAGCAACCAAATTGTTATTAGAAATAGAGAGGTGTTGCAGATGGTGGCTAACGCCCGTTATGACGCTCGAGATATCGTTATGCGAAACATCTAATTTTTGCAATTTTTCTATTTCGTTAAATACTGTCATATTAATTAGTTTGATTCTATTCTGAGATAAATCCAAGGTTATCCTTTCCGTGGATTTATGAACACGATAGAGATCAGAGGATCCCTTTATCAAATTTGCGAGGCTGTCGTTTATTTGTTTTTCATTTTCAGTGAAGCCTGTGGTAGTTAGTTTGGTGTGACTTAGAGGGGTTGTCTGTGTGCGGTCCTCCTGCACGTACTATTAGGAGAAGTTTTCATTATACCGTCTACTTATAGCGAATGGCTAATTTAACTGTTTGCCAATTGAATAATGGAACGTGGGTAAAGGTCTCGTTATACTTGGCTCATTTCAGAGATAAAGAAATGAAATGGGGTTTGACGTCCTACTGCTCATTGCAGGCTAACTTACACTCATTTTGTTTCTATGGTTTCACGTGCAATGCGAGTGGGGGATTTTACTCTGGCGTTCTCGGTTACTCTTCATTCAACTATATCTACAAGGGGATATTTTACGTGCACTGAATCACCATAACCATTAAACATACTTTTATCGACTCTCAATTGAAAAGTTAAAACCAGGCTTTAAAAATCTCTCCAAAGTTAGTCCCTGTCAGTTAAAGATGGGTTACCGCGTACCAACTGGGTGATTTAATGGTATAGATGGACTAAAAACATATTCAAACTAATTAATTTGTCATAAATTTGCTTCAAATCCTTCTCAAACAAGGTAATTGCGAAGGAATGTCCTGCTATAAAAATTCGATCAAACTAGGTCACGTTTACGTCACGTGACTTACCTCTCTTGGAAGTCAGAGGAGAATTCATTGCATACATAAGACGATGTTGTCTTTAATCGCTTACTATTTATTACAAATATCGAATCCTAATTAAATTCTCGGATTATCCACTACCCGCGTATTTTTCCGTCATTTTTATCTCAGAAAGTGTTGTACGTCTAACTCTTCTTAAAGTTGTACATCAAGCGCTCAATTTTCGCGTGTGACCTTTGACATCACGCGTGCAGAAATTCCTAATCGTCTGGCTGTTGATTAGGGGAACCCTTACATTTTTGTCCTGTATACGCTCCATAAGTTTTTTTCTGGGAATCCAGTATTTTTCTAGTAAGATTGGATATCTCTACTTTCCATATATACCAAAATTACCATACTTTTATTGGAAATAACCACCCGATAAATCCTTTTCTGGGAACCCATCTTTAACATATAGAAGAGTATAAATTACAATTGAACCATGTTTTAGTTTGCTTACAATGTCATTTATATTGACATTCCACAACACTTGTGTTATCTATCGACGTTGTTATAGGCGTACGGACTCCATGAATGTTAAGGGGGCCGGAGGCAGAACCTGAAATGCGATTTTAAGGAGATTTAAGTTTTTGTGAAACAGGGCCCAGTAGCCTTTTATGAAGGATGTTTCACCGGACTCCTCTTACCAAGATAAATGTATAAATATCAGATAAGTTTATATATAAAATGGTCCCGTGTTGCATAGGCGTACGGGTTTGATCAATGTTAAGGGGGTGGGTGGCAGAACCTTTAAAGCGCAAAAAGATTTCGGATACCGGTCGTCTGCGAGAGGGGAAAGGTACCATGTACAGCGCCCCCCCCCCCTCCCCTTAAGAAAGATTATAAACGCGTTTTCCTGCTATTCCAGCCCTTGAATACATGAATACATCAACTTCAAAGTGATCTAATATAGCCTAACTTAGGTGGTAGACTCGGATTCCAATCAACTAATCAATCGTTAAGAGTCAACGGACACGAGATCGTCGGGAGAAGTTTTTGAAACGCGTTTTCCTGCTATTGATTTCGGGCATTTTATTTTGCACACTTTACCCGTCAGACCGAACTTTAGTGGGATAGCTGACACCCTTACCCCTCCTCCCCCCGACTCGTACGCCTATGGAAGTGATATGTTCAAAGACAAATTTTCACCTCACAAAAGAGGGCTTAGGTGGCCGAATGGTTAGCGCGTGCACGTTGGCTCGGAAGGTCTGTCATAGAGTCAGGTGTCATGGTTTCGATTCTCCGTTTGACCGTGACAAGGAGTAGGGTCCCCGGTTTCCTCCCACTGCTAAAGACCCCTTCACGAAAGCAAATTATTGAAATAAAATTGAACGATATGTTAGTCCCATAATGACCTACTTTGTGTCGCGTGAACGTTAAACCCCATTTCTCTCTCTTTCACTCTCATCCCACAAAAGTTTCAATTCAACATATAAAATCCAATGAAATGACCAATTTTACTTTTGCCCAAATCAAATACGTCTAATCGTATTATTTGTCCCATATATTGCCATATTACGAGATGTAATATACTTACTTTTGCCCAAATCAAATACGTCTAGTCGTATTAGTTGTCCCATATATTGCCAAATTACGAGCGATAATATACTTTAAGCCCTTTCGCTTACACAACTACAAGATAACTGATATGAATATCCGGAATAGAAGGTCAACAGTATTAAAAAATATTTTAAAGGTGCAGTATGTAAGATTTAGATAAAGAACTAGCAGTTCTCGGTACAATAATTTTAAAATAGATAATGAAACGGAAATATACTGAAAATTGAAAATTTCAGTCAAAATACATTATTCCTACGAAGTTATGAATGTTGATCAGAATAGTGTAGTCTCGGTTACCATTGCTATCATTGCTATGACAACAAGTAAAGCCTCGATTATCCACTTTTAAATTAAAATATATAAATGTCTAATTAATAATTTATATAACAGAAAGGCTTGCAATATGCAGACATACACAACAATGTAAATCACTTGCTAACTCAATCAGATTAAAATACAGATCTATATTTCGTTTATACTTTCGATGGCCTCTAATACATGAAGATCTGACCAGTTGTATTGGGAGGTCGCGTCAGGGGTCATTCGAGTGGCTTTTGACATGTGACGTCAGACATTCTGATAAACCAATCAGCGTTGATGTTTCTAGAAGGATACCAACAGGCCCTCTGTCCTGCACCACTGACAAGGGGAAATCACGCCGGAAAATCACGCTGAACTTTCTCGGCCAACACCCGGGTCAAAATCGCGACCTCCAGGCTAGCGAGTCAGCGTCTTACTCACTTAGCCACCGTGGCTCCCCTTTGTTTAAGCAAACATGGCTAAGAAAAAGGGGTCCTTATCACTTTTGGTTAAAAAAAGACAAATGTTGTCTGGATTGTTAAAACTATTAAGTCAGTCAGCTTAGCAAGTTGCCCTGGAAGTTCCGGATAAAGTGGCTCTTTTTTTTCTAGATGCTACCCATTGACCTAGCTTTCCAATTTTTCGAAAGCACCAAATATATTATGGTTGCCATCTTGGATCTTCGGAGCTTCCGTGTCTGTAAAAACCTATATCTGCCATTATCCCAGCTTCATTAGGATCACAATCTTGGTGTTGCAATCTGTATTTTCAGGGTCAATAAATACAATTATATAAAAGCCACCACTTTTAAGTGATCCATGACGATGTATGCTTAATCACCAATATTGCGATCTTCAGGGGTTTAAAGGCTCAATACCACTCCTGTTGTAACTGAATAATATGTCCCAATCTTTATTCTGGTCAACAAATTGTACTATTTTACATTATTCCAATTAATTGATGATACGAATTTTACCTAATTTAAAAAATTGGAAAAATTCAACTAAATGATTTGAAAAGTCTGACGTAAAGCTTTTCAAATGTGACTTGGATTTAAAAATATTTTTGAACCCTCTGGACAAGTAAAATAGGATTTAATGGATAATTTACACAACAGGTAAGACACTAACACATGTAGTACTTAGAACAAGGCTATGTTTTATTTTCTGGAGCTGTCAAGCCAGCAAGAGTGTTATTGTCCCTTTAAAAGCTGAAGTTGACCTTACGAAATAGATATAACCTTCAGGAAGTGTTTATCAAGAACTATGGGTGTAACATCTTCGACCCTGGATACATCCTCGGTATCCCTAGTAGTCTCATTCCGTTCTATTCCACTAACCCATGAGGGGGGGGGGGACACGTATTCAAGTTATCCGTCCTCGATGATTATGCTATTTTCATCGACCAATCCCATAAATCGTTAATGGCAAAGGAGGTTGGCGAAGGGAAATAAGTCTCATCGGGTAAACTAAGGGAAGCGCAAATGCTCCCCTTCAAGAGACGAGGTTAGGAAAAGCCAGAAGGTAGCCCGATTCTCCTCAAGTGTCCCCAAGCAAAATGATATAAGACCAAATTATGCTAAATGCGTATTTATTAACATCAAATTACAATATTTATATTATATATTAACGCAGACCAGACAGATATTTACATATGTAGATTCAAGAGTTTTATTGAGAATGATATCTGAATTTGGCGTTTTTGTAATGTTGTTGTTGTTGTTGTTAGTGTTTAACGTCCGCTTCCACCGAAGGTGATATCGCAGACAAGTTGTCTTTTTTTTATTTTCATTATCTTAGCGCACGCGCAGGGGTCTTTCCTGTGGGAGGAAACTGGAGTAAACCCACGAGGTTGAGAAGGCGCCCCTATCTCCATGCCACATACGCTCACACCAGGGATCGAAACCACAACCGCAAGCCAGAGGTGACCGGCCAGCTAGAGGTCGAAGCGTGACACCCTAGACCATCCCAACCCCCCTCGTTTTTGTAATAAAAACCCCCCAAAAAACTCATCCTTTATACTCGAGTATCAGAGAGAGTACCCCCAGCGATTGAACCGAACCACTTATTTAGGTAAAACACCATCACACGCCACCAAATTATATTACCAAGTATATCTATAATAATTATAAACATAACAGAATGGTAATAGTTTAGAAACATTTCAGACAAAGAACGAATAGTATTAATTATAACAAAAGTGAAACATATACACGTTATACATATTTGAAATGAGTAAAACACACTACAGATTTTGATAATACAATAAAATATAAATGAATTAGAAATATATACATTATTTACATAAATCATTCAGTAAATGGTCATGATTGGGTTTATTTACCCTTAAAAAAACAAAAGCGAAACGAAAGCCGTTTCATTAGTAAGACTGGTTTGTAAACTATTTTTTTGATTGGTTCGTAGTCTCAAGCTACAATCAAGGTCATAGCAGATAATTTGAAATCATATGGATTAACCCAGGTTATTTTCACATTGGTATTATTATATGGACTGAAAGAGAATCGGTTTTAGGCGAGTGATTTGGCCTTGAATTAGAAATCGGATTCAGACCATATGGTCGTAACAGACTTAAGACACTACACTTATAATCATATAGCTTAGGCCTAACGTTACTTTTGAAATATTATCCACGTTACAGGCGCCTGTGGGGTATAGTGGAGTAGAACGGAATATGATCCACGGGGGAAACCAATGATGCCCACGAGAGACGGATATCCCAGTGAGAAAAACTGAACCAGGGTACTAGTGCAGGTTAACACGTTTGCGTGGCCGACTCGAAAGGATGGCAACGAATCTGAGTTTTCATTCCCTGGTCATGCAAAATTATAAACTATACGCGCCTTAAGTAAACAAAGTATGCATTGTCAACAATATAAATTCAACATTATTAAACAGATGGGCACAATGTGATTTATGATAAAGTTGACATACAAAAGAACATGTTAGTTACGTTAAATATATCGTAGGATTTGCTATTCATTCAAATTCAGCTATTTAAGTAAATGGGGATAATAATACTAATAATATGACTACAGATCACCAGTGATTTCCACGTTGACTTTAACGTTAATTCTTGTCTCTTAGACCGGTCTAACTTTTCCCAAATTGTCGTAGGGTAGAATGCTTTCTACCACTGATGGAGCAACATGTGGAAATCTCTTGCCCAAAAGCACGTGTTGTGTTCATCATGAAAACTTGAGATACACAAACTAGAAGAAGAGATAAATCAACAGGCAATTTTCCACCCTACACTTCAACCTGGCCAACCTCTTAACTCTTGAATCCTTCCGCCTCAAAATCATGAATATTCACCAATACCTGGCAGAAAATGCATATTCAAATCTTTTTGTTCAAATCTACACCAAAAATGCAACAAAGATCGCCATGCAAATGGGGGTGGGGCTGGGGTGGGGTGGGGAGACTAAACTAGCTTTAACCCTTGTATCGTGGGTGACGGCGTAGAAATAATCGATGAGCTGGATCCATATTCATAAGTGTAACATATTATCAAATATCCAGTCCCTCACTATATATATAACTACAGTGACCCAAATCTAATTATAGCTGTTATTAGTCTCGACTATTTAGGCGTCTACAGACTATAAATAAAACAATACTAACAAAATAAAACTAGCTTTGCCACACTATGTCGTACATACATTTTGTCTTTTCGAACAATATCTTATTTTCATTTACATTTTTCACATTATAATCCACGCCAAATGTTCTAAAATTGAAATGTTAACATTTATAGCTGCATTAGGTAAGATTAGATAAAGATCTGACAGTTGTCGCAATAATAGTTAAAACAAGGACAATGAAAAGAAGTCAAATTACTTCACACCGAGCCTAGATATCGGCGATACAAATATAGCATAGCCCCGATTGCAATTACTACCGTAAGCAGAGTCTCGATTATCCATTGTTACAGTAACCGCATCGACCACAAAACGTATTTAAATCTACTTATATCGCAGCCAACCGATGGAATCGAGAGTTGATTATGGCCTGGGTAAGTTAATTAATGTTTAATTAATAATTTATACAACATTTCAGGTCTAAAGAAAGGCCTAAATAAGCAGATTTAGCTCTTGCATAATGCCTGTTTAATTCCGAAAATACTATGAAAATATCAACTGTAGATTATCTACCTGGTTGGATTTAATCAGGTTAAAAAGAGGCCCATCAAAAGATTGATATTGTCTACAGGAGGATGTCAGATTGGTCGAACTTAAACTTCTAGTAATAATATCAAACCAAAACATTCGTGGTGTACAAATTCAGTTAACAAGTGATATTCCATTTCTGTATTCGAACATCAGAAATGGATACAGTCTCAGATTGGGTGGGGCGGAGTTCTTGTAGCGTTTGAACTACCGACCATGAAACGACTGCGGTAAACAGATCAATGACCTTTAATCTTATTATAATTCATATTGACGTTTCAGCGATGTTTTTACCATTTGCCAAAATATATCTTTGTTGTCATTATCTTGCCATTTGATATAAGTAGTAGTTTTCAATAGAGCGTTCAGTGGTTTACTCATATTAACTGCTTCTATATCCTCTAATAATACTACTACTATAGACTCTATACTCCTATCTATAACCAATTTCTGAGCTAAACTCATTTCAAATTGACACCATTTACTTCTAGCAAAATCATTGGACAAAACAACAAGAACTTTACGACTGTTTTCCATGTGTTGTAGAATATTATCAATGACCAGTTGTCCACCAAGAAAATCTCTTTCGTGGATACACAACTTAATGTGTTCGCCTTCTTCCACGATAGGTAGAAGATCCTGTAAAACCCAGTCCCCATCTTGTACACAGTAAGCTACAAAGGCGTCATGAGTAAAGTGTTTCTCTGCAATATCCAGCAGCTGTTTCGGTCTGTATCTCCACATATAAATATGATATTTAATATGCCAGATATATTTGTTGATAACAGAAGCGATCAAAATAACACAGATAAAAAAACATGTTACTGTTGTCACAGAGATAAACGCTTCGGTGTTATTCAAACAAATTCTCTCCGTTATATTCAGACATCTATAGCCGTCCGGATAATCCCAAAACTTGGATGGTTCCTTATGAATCCACTGAATCAACCAAACCAATTCACACTTACATACGAGCGGATTATCATTTAAAGATATTTTTTTCAATCTTGTCATAAACACTTCAGGCAGCATTTTACTTGTAACAGTCTGAATTAAATTATGGGCTGCATTTAATTCTGTCAATTTAATGTTCCTTTCAAAGAACTCAGTTGGCCAGGATTTAATCAGATTCCAGCCAACATCTAAATAAGTAAGATTATGATAATGTCTGGTGACAGTAGGTAGGTTCTGTAAATTACAATCCAACAGCATCAATACTTCAAGAGATGTCAGAGGGGCTAGCGTTTTATTTAGTTTTTCCTCCATTTTAAAGAAATTACTTTTAGACAGATCTAGTTTTAGTAACCGATCCAATCCACAAAATGCATGTTCATGCAGGCGGTTAGTAGTCAATGTGTTCTTTGATAGGTCTAGACTTAGCAGTTTGCTGTTGTTGAACGCACGTTCCTCTATATAAAATGTTCTACCCTGTTCTGAGATAGACAACGAGCTAAGAGACTTGAAAGAATGAAAATAATCAGTTTTTAATGAGTCAATGTAGTTTGAACTCACATCCAAGATTTGAAGCTTTTCCAAGCAGTTTAGATGTTCTGGAACGAAAGTACCAATTATGTTGCGTTGTAGTTGCAATTTCATTATCTCTGGAAAGAGGTTCCGACGATAACAAAAGTTTGGCAAAGCAGCCAAACTGTTATTAGAAATAGAGAGGTGTTTTAACTTTTCCAAACAATTAAAATATTTCGGAACAAAATTACCAATCTTGTTGCTTTGTAGTTGCAATGTTGTTAACTCTGGAAAGGAGTTTCGACGAAGACAAAAGTTTGGTAAAACAGTCAAACTATTATTAGAAATAGAGAGGTGTTGCAGATGGTGGCTAACACCCGGTATGACGGTGGATATTTTGTTATTCGAAACGTCCAATATTTGCAATTTTTCTATTTCGTTAAACACTGTCATATTAAGTAGCTTGATTCTATTCTGAGATAAATTCAAGGTTATATTTTCCGCGGATTTAAAGTCAACGAAAACATTATGTGGAATATATTCTAAGCGATTTCCTCTGAGACTTATCTTGGATAGATTGCTATTTCTCTGAAAACTAGAGAATAAATTCCGTAACGAATCTGAAGTGAGTAGATTATCTGTTAAATCCAATAAGTAAACATGCGATAAATTTTGAAACACAAATTCGTCAATATTCTCAATTTCATTATGGTGTAGATTTACGGTTGATATTCTTGTGTTGCTAATGTTTAAAACTGTAGTTGGAGTAACACGGGGTAAATAATTATATTTAAAGTAGACTGCTATGGTGTTATCGGGAAATTTTGGAATGTAGGTAAGGTTTGTATTAGAACAGCGAGCAACACGATGTGCGCACTTGCATAATCCGATTGAACACGCATCCTGAACTGCCACAGATGGTAAACAAAGAGCAAGGATCACAACAGCCAACATCTTACATGGATCTACCATCAAAACAGTTTCCTGAAGAAAAAAATATATTTATTTTGAGACGGTTGAATTAAAATGGGTTTGTTAACGCAACGACGTGAAGTCAACATGTGGTTGGTTTGTTGTTCGTTATTTACAAGATATGGAATTATTAATATAATACAGGCACTTTTGTGGGGAATACAGACCGGGAGTGGGTTTTTTATGGTTTATAACACATCAAAGTCTTTGAAAATAGATTCTTACAAGCTGCCTTTCTATAGCAGTGGTTCACAACCTTTTTTTGCCAACGGCACACCTTCGGACACATGAAAAAATTGCGGCACACCTGTCTAAATATATATGAAAAATATTTGACTTTTGCAAAATAAAAACATGTTAAGTCAGACGGCATACAATCATGATAGACAGAGACAAGTCATAGACACATAGAATGACTCAAACTAAATAAAGAAATACACAGCTATGAACTTATCGGTAGACATTCAAGGCCGATCAGATGGTTTTTCGCATTTAATTAATGTGCCGTTCAAAATTTCGCGGCACACTTAGGAAGATCTTCGGCACACCTGTGTGCCTGTGTATAGAATCACTGTTCTATAGGATAGTAACGAACGAGCTAGTTTGCTGTTTGTTATTGGCGTTAGTTTCCAGCTTGTGAATATGATAGAAATGAAATTCTTTGAGGAACCCTCTTATCAAATGGGATCAATATCCATGCTATATTTGGATAAGCTGCTTTTTGGAAACTTTTTTTTTCTTTGGGCTCTCTGTGTAATTAATAGAGACTTTTGGCAAGCGTACTTTCCTGGTCCGTATCGCGTATCCGTATGGATTTTGCGTGTGACGTCATCAATGTGTGTGTATTTCTCATACGTGATACGGCACACGCTTACGGCAGCTCGTATCGAAAAGCTTTCATACGATTAAGGTCCGTATAACATCGTCGTCTTTTTACTGTCTTTTTTTGCTACTTTTAGACGCTGAAATGTTGTATCATAGCGTTTTTATGAATCTATGTGTATCCTGGAACACGAAGGTGTATATTTGATGTGATTTTAACCGTGATAACGACTGGAATTTAATCATTATTTTTGATGGGGTTTTCTCGGAATTTTCATATTTTTACCATCTGTGTGCATGCTGTTTGATCTACGTGCTAATTTTAGGGAGGCGGGACCTTGCAAATCTGTGAATTATTTTATTCTATGGTAACGGGGTATGAACTTTCTGCGATGATACATGAGTGAAACCAAAAATTGACGTCGAGTCGAAGTCGAAGATTTTAATAAGATTCGACATTAAAAATGTTTTAATAGCCGTGCGGCTGTCGAGCGACATTACTCCCTCCGGGAAATTGTAGGCTAGGCATTTGACCAGTACAGGTGGTGATGCTGTAATAGAACTTACTCCAGCTCAGCCACGCGAAAATCTGCCAAAACTCTAAAACTTCATTGACGCAACGTATCACATATACCATACGGATACGTGATACGGATGGGAAAATTCCGATTGCCAAAAGTCTCTAATGAGGCTTGTTTGCGTGTACGTAGTGGGACCCCGCTGCACTTACTATTACGAGACGCTTTTAGCCAATGTCAAATTTAAAGGGGCATTATATAAGATTTAGATACAGAGCTGACAGTTCTCGCTATAATACACTGAAAAAAAACTTGTGTTGGATCTCAACACAAGTACTTGTGTGAAAATTATTCTACACAAAACTTGTGTTGTTTTGCATTGCATTAACACAAACTTGTGTTCTTTTTAATGCATTAACACAAATCTTGTGGGTTTTTTCATATAATTAACACAAGTAATGTGTACCGTCAACAAATATTTTTTTTTTTAATTTGAACTCCATACAAAGTCTTAATCCGGGCGTCCACAAGTATAAGAAAAGTATTTTTTACTCAGACATGATGGCCAGACAGACTTGAATGCTAATTGGTGTTAAGATGTCTGTAGTTAAAATAAAGTTGTTGATTTTTTATGGGCCCAATAAACTTGTAGATCAAAGGCCTATTGAGCGCTCATGCCCGGTGTGATTTTAACAATTGACTCCAAATGCATTGACAAGAAAATAAGTAAAACTATTATTTAATGTGATTGGTTGATAAAATCAACGTACTATAGGCTACAGTTTGTCTGCGATATCATCTCTTTGCAACCGGACATTAAATGAATTGATTTCACACAATTCATTTACCATTTAACAGCGTGCTGAAATGATTTTTGAGCAGTGATATGTTTGACAAATGTAAGCTAATGGTCACAGAGAATAAAAGACCGCAGGTTTGTGAATATTTATATATAAAAAAAATAATACCATTTATTTTATGATCAGTAGTGGAATACCGCGTTTTATCAGTGAAATAAAAGTGTTATTCCACTGGCTAGTTGTTTTTACCTAAAATGATTGTAAAATCATAAAATAAATAGAACATTACGCATTCGTGAAAATATAAGTTTTCTTGCTTCTCGATGAAATAAAATATGTTATTCACTCTAAAACGACAAATATCCTCTATGTATGTAATTTAGCATCGATATTGTTTTTGTGTATAATACTAGTATTTCATTTCCTTAAAAAAACTCCAACAATTTAACCCGGAAGTTCATGTTTAAAATGGCGGGCGGGGACAGGGAAAAAATTTCGGCATGTTATTATCAAATCTGTTCAATTTTTCTGAAATCGTGCTTAATTAACATTAGTTGTTCGGCGCTACGATGTTGTTCAAATACGTACATTACAGAATCACATTATGATTAAACCAGAAACGGCTCGACTTGAACCAGCAGGTAAGAATCTTTTGAAATTATATCTTGGGAGGTTGGATTGGATTGGCGGCCATTTTGATTCTTGTTTCATGATTTTTTATATTATAAAGATTTTGCCAAGAGTAGACATAAACGCGGGCACAGACTAGAAAAAATCTTTTTACACTTTTGTGTTAGTTGAATTGTAATCTAATTTATGTTTAAAAAAACAACCTTAAATCAAATAAGCAGATATTTTCCCCAAACCCTCCGTTCAACCTCTGACTCTGTCACTCTGTGGAATATTATTAGGCCCCTATTTTCCTGATTCAGTCACAGTTAATAAATAATAAATAATGGAACTAGAATCAGTCTGTGGAAGTTTCTCTATAGTTTCATTATTTTTTCCAGTCAGTGATGATATGACTCATTCCACCTTACAGTTACAGCAATTACCGTATTGAGAATTTACAGTTCAAGGACTCCATTTTGGCATTGAATTGGAATTTGAAGAAAAACTGGTAACAATTTCATTTAATTTTTATATTTTCTATTTTTTTTTTTACCAATGTCCTACAATGATTAGTGTATGTGAACATACAATCCCAAGTAAAGTATTTATATGACACTTACATGCAACAGAGAGAGAAAAATGACATAAACAAGGCCTTACGTGTACTTGTATTTGAAGAATCAAGTAGTCCAAGCTATGCCTATATGCATACCGGTAATCAACTACGACGACAATTAGCTTTCTTCCGTTTCCACCCTTTCCCTGCACACTGTTCCATTCTACTTAGCCTACAGAAGCTAGGTCGTTTCGGGAAAAAGGGGCGCTATTGCACTTTCGTACCTCTACCAGTTCCCGTGGTCGTAGGAACTTGAAATTATTAGAGGATGTTAAGGGGGACTAGCAATGACCACACACCAAATTTCGGCCGAATCGATCAATAACATTTTTATTTTACCGACCTTTTAATTTCTAACGAGAGAGAACTTCATCTGTTTGACGCCATTTGCTTTGTTTACTATTTAGACTCGAATAACAAGACACTAAGACGGAAACCGACACACTGCACTAGCTGCCTATCTCTGCAGTTCATAAAAATTAATATAATTTTCGTATACTTTAATTTTTGCGCGAAGCCACCATGTTCTATAAAATACTATTTGGTGTTGATCAGTGGATTGGCCTTTAGGTGTGAATATTGCCGTGACCTTGATTTTGACCTTGAGTCTTAACTTCCCATCCATATCAGGGCCTTTGCGTTTATGATTGCCGTGGCCTTATTTCTTACTGTATTTTCAAAGTTAATGTTCGAGGTGAAAGCAGAGACGACGTCCTTCAGAAAAGATAATTGGGTCAAAGTCGTAGGTCAAGGTCATGTTACAGAAAACTAAACTCAAACTTTTCAAAGTCATTTTTTGGACATTTGACCTTGACTTACGACCTTGACCCCGTAACCGTTTTCGAAGGCTATCACCTTGGCTTGAATCATGGACGTTTACCTTGGTTCTGTCACACACTGCTCGGTCAGAAAAGGGTCAAACGGAGAGGGGCCCGTGTCCGAAAGGAAGTCAATGGGCGTGGTCAATGTGAAAGGTCGTGGTGACCTCCACTAGTCACCGTTAACCATCCGTGACCTTGACCCTGACCTAGTGTCCGAACTTCCCATCCATCTCGGGCCCTTTGCGTTTATGCGTGCCGTGACCTTATTTCTTACTGTATTATCAAAGTTAATGTTCGAGGTGAAAGCAGAGACGGCGTCATTCAGAAAAGATAATTGGGTCAAAGTCGTAGGTCAAGGTCATGTTACAGAAAACTAAACTCAAACTTTTCAAAGTCATTTTTGGGACAGGGCCAGGGTAAACGTCGATGGTTCAAGCCAAGATGATGGGCTTTGAAAATGGTTACGGGTCAAGCTCGTAAGTCAAGGTCAAATGTCCCAAAACTGACCTTGAAAAGTTTGAGTTCAGTTTTCTATAACATGACCTTGACCTACGACTTTGACCCAATTATCTTTTCTGAGGGACGTTGTCTTTGCTTTCACCTCAAGCATTAACTTTGATAATACAGTAAGAAATAGGGTCACGGCAAGCATAAACGAAAAGGCCCCGAGATTGATGGGAAGTTTGGACTCTAGGTCGAAGTCAAGGTCACGGATGGTTAAAGGTGACTAGTGGAGGTCACCAGGAACTTTCACATTGACCACGCCCTTTGACTTCCTTTCGGACACGGGCCCCTCTGCGTTTGACCGTTTTCTGACCGAGCAGTGTGCGACAGGGCCAGGGTAAACGTCGATGGTTCAAGCCAAGATTATGGGCTTTGAAAATGGTTATGAGATCAAGGTCGTAAGTCAAGGTCAAATGTCCCAAAACTGACTTTGAAAAGTTTGAGTTCAGTTTTCTGTAACATGACCTTGACCTACGACTTTGACCCATTTATCTTTTCTGAAGGACGTTGTCTCTGCTTTCACCTCAAGCATTAACTTTGATAATACAGTAAGAAATAGGGTAACGGCAAGCATAAACGAAAAGGGCCCGAGATGGATGGGAAGTTTGGACTCAAGGTCGAAGTCGAGGACACGGATGGTTAAAGGTGACTAGTGGAGGTCACCACGAACTTTCACATTGACCACGCCCATTGACTTCCTTTCGGGCATGGGCCCCTCTGCGTTTGACCGTTTTCTGACCGAGCAGTGTGCGACAGGACCAAGGTAAACGCCCATGATTCAAGCCAAGTTGATAGCCTTCGAAAATGGTTACGGGGTCAAGGTTGTAAGTCAAGGTCAAATGTCCCAAAACTGACTTTGAAAAGTTTGAGTTTAGTTTTCTGTAACATGACCTTGACCTACGACTTTGACCTTTTTAACTTTTCTGAAGGACGTTGTCTCTGCTTTCACCTCAAGCATTAACTTTGATAATACAGTAAGAAATAGGGTCACGGCAAGCATAAACGAAAAGGGCCCGAGATGGATGGGAAGTTTGGACTCAAGGTCAAAGTCAAGGTCACGGATGATTAAAGGTGACTAGTGGAGGTCACCACAACCTTTCACATTGACCACGCCCATTGACTTCCTTTCGGACACGGGCCCTTTGCGTTTGACCCTTTTCTGACCGAACAGTGTGCGACAGGACCAAAGTAAACGTCGATGGTTCAAGCCAAGGTGATAGCCTTCGAAAATGGTTACGAGGTCAAGGCCTTAAGTCAAGGTCAAATGTCCCAAAACTGACTTTGAAAAGTCCGAGTTTAGTTTTCTGTAAGATGACCTTGACCTACGACTTTGACCCAATTATCTTTTCTGAAGGACGTCGTCTCTGCTTTCACCTCGAACATTAACTTTGATAATACAGTTAGAAATAAGGCCACGGCAAGCATAAACGCAAAGGGCCCGAGATGGATGGGACGTTTGGCCTCAAGGTCAAAATCAAGGTCACGGCAATATTTACACCTAAAGGCCAATCCACTGATCAACACCAAATAGTATTTTATAGAAAATGGTGGCTTCGCGCAAAAATTAAAGTATACGAAAATTATATTAATTTTTATGAACTGCAGTGTTAGGCAGCTAGTGCAGTGTGTCGGTTTCCGTCTAAGTGTCTTGTTATTCGAGTCGGTTTCCGTCTTAGTGTCTTGTTATTCAAGTCTAATTAGTAAACAAAGCAAATGGCGTCAAACGGATCGAAGTTCTCTCTCGTTAGAAATTAAAAGGTCGGTAAAATAAAAAGTTATTTATCGATTTGGCTGAAATTTGGTGTGTGGTCATTGCTAGCCCCCCTTAACATCCTCTGAAAATTTTAAGTGCCTATGACCACGGGAACTGGTAGAGGTACGAAAGTGCAATAAAGGACAGGTAAGGTTAAATTTGATATGAAAAATTCGTTTGCTGGTATGGACAGGTAAGGTTAAATTTGATATGAAAAATTCGTTTGCTGGTATGGGTATTTAGCAAACGGAGGAAACCGAATGGCCCAGAGAAAAACTCAAGAGATTGGACAGGCGACTCTACTCCTTGAAATCGAAACCATGCCACTTAACACAATGACAGACCCTGTGATTTCATGTGAATGCATTAACTACTAGACCATTCCCCCCAGCCCCACCCCATATTGAATAAAAGTATGGCTTATTTCAAATATGATATTTACATATAAAGAAAGTAGAGAGACTTCAATCTTACTAGAAAAATACTAGATTACCTGAAATGAAATGGGGTTTAAAGACAACGTCCTACTGTTCAGCTCCGACTGGTCTAATGCAGTGTGCTAAGAGAAAATGTTTGTCCGGGCAGCGACACTATGGCCTACTCTCATAGCGAATTCAAACTGCCAAGAGAACTTTTATGTGTACGCCAACGTGTACATTGGATCTCAGGGGAAACCACTCTGAAAAATCAAGATGAGCTTTCTCGGTCAACCCCAAGAGGTAACCTGTGGCCTCCATGCTAGTATTCCAGCACCTAACTCACTCAGTCACCATGGTCGTCTTCTAATTACTGCGACATTGAAACCATGTGACAAACAAGGATTATAAAAATAGATTTTTTACGGCTTAGGTAGTTCCTTGGGATTAAAATTTTTGATACATATAGATACATTAGTTTCAATTTCAAATCACACAGTTTGTATATATGGTATGGTAGCTTAAATGGTAAATTACATATCATGTATTTATTTTTTCAGTTTCAATATTGGATGTATATGCAAATCACCCAGGAAAAGATCATGTAACAAAAGAAATTATAAAAGTAAAAAAATGGAAGAAGAAATGGCTGGAAAAAATGATGATAGAGCAGCTTTTTCTTGGTGGGTAACTATTCAATTCTTATAGAAAAGATTGCTGTTATGCTATTTTGAAATCTAAAATTCAGTTTAGTATAGTAAAACTGTACACGTACATGTATGAGCACAGACAGAATCTTAGTTAGATATGACTGTCTCATCTGTGGCAAAGCAAACCAACACATGAAACAAAACAAATGTAGTTAAATTAACATTTTTTGACTTAATCAAAACTGTCTAGTCAATTTAAGCCAACTAATGTAATACATTGCATATTTTTTTTCAGTTAGCCACCTCGGAAGATCAAGACAGCTGGAAAGGGCTATTGATATTGTGGAAGTGTTTTCTTACAGAGGTTGCTTATCAGACAAAGGCAATGTAAGTACCATGCATATTTGCTTTTTGAATCAGGAACTGGTTCTATACACTTGGTGGGGGGGGGGAGGTTGGATGGCCGAATGGTTAGCATGTGCGTGCTGTATCATACGGCCTGTCATCCTCGGTTGTACGTGACAAGGAGTAGGGTTGCCTGTTCAACCTCGTGGGTTTTCTCCAGGTCCTACGGTTTCCTCCCACTGCTAAAGACCTATATGACTTCAAAACTATAAGATGGATGCAATGTTACACCCTTTCATAATCATTATTATAAAGCGTTCAAATGCATGAATTTGTAAAATATAATTAATATCATATTGTAATACTGTTTGCAATACTGTATTCACCACTGCCTTAGTGGAGATAATTGGTAAATTAAATGATTATTTTTTCATTTTGTCTTTTTTTCAAGACTTTTGTTCTGACTTCTGACCCATTGAGGCATAATAATCTACCTGGGTCTGTAACTTGAAAAGACACAATAAGTATTATGCAAAGTTGAAACAAAATAGAGACTCAACGTGTGGAAAAATAAGTTATTTATTTAAAAATTGTGAACTGTAGAAAGTATATTTATTGCCAACTCAACCACATACTATCATCCAGGGTTTATGGACCTACTTATAGTCCAACCTTCGACGATGGGTTGTATGTTCAATCTAGTTGGAGGTGTACGATTGAACATACAATAATTCAATAACTCACTTCTCTTAGTATAATCTTATATTCTGTAACAATATCTAACAAAGATAATATATACATATAATACTGACCCACAGGATAGGTAACTTAATAAGGAACAGCATCTAAGAAATAACTTGTCACTATATCAGAGACCTGCCCTTCAGTATGTCCTGATGCCTGCCTGTGGTTAACTCGCCTTTTTCTAATATATACAATTTTTAGGACTTTTATACCTTAGCTTTGTTTTTAGTTACAATATAATCCTTAATACCTTACTGGAATAACTTTACAATAGATAATAATTTATGAAACAATGTCTCTCTAATATAATTACAGAGTTTATTTTAATTAGGATTCTGGCTAATCTATAATGGCTCTGGCCTCAAATTAACTATGCTCTAATTCTACCTGGTCATAATACTTGAATATTAAGCCATCAAATTATTTTATAATTTTGAAAATGAAATGAAATGGGGTTTAACATCCTACTGTTTTGCTCATAAACTGGGCTAATGAAGACGGGCATACACCATACAGTGTGCTATGAGGGAAATTTTGCCCGGGCAGTGGCGCTACAGCCTACTCTTATATCGAATTCCAACTGCCAAGGGATCTTTTACATGCACGCCAATGTGTACACAGGACCTCGTTTTTTTTATCCCATCCAAACGACTAGACAGCTGTCCTTGTCAGGTCCTCCGTCCTGTATCACTGACAAGGGGAAGACACGTCGGAAAATCTGGATGAACTTTCTCAGCCAATTCAGGGATCGAACACCCGACCTCCAGGCTAGTGAGCCAGCGTCGTACCCTCTTAGCCATTGATCTCCTTATAATTTTGAAAACGAATATAGTGATTGTAAAAGCTAATAAGTTATCAGTTGCATTTTATTTTTGTTTTTAATGTTAAATATCCCTCTCAAACACAATTATATTTTAATTCTCTCCAGAAATTTGTGTAAAATATAGACTGTAAATTAAAACTTTCATCTTTTAACTGTTGAGTCAATTTAAGTCATCTAATACATAGTATGTTTTTTTCCAGTTAACTACATCAGAAAGATAAAAACAGTTGGAAATGGCTATTCATATTGTGGAAACTTTTCTCACAGAGCTTGATAATCAGGAAAAATGTAAGTAACATACATATTTGTATTTTTAATCAGGAAGTAGTTTTATACACTTGCTTGGTAATCTAGTTATTCTTCTTGGGGCAATGCCTAGGACTCAGCTATTTCAAGTACTTGGCATGCTTGATTTTTGCCAATCACATCCATTGATTTCCTTCAAGTTATGATAGGGCCTATGTGTATTTTTACAGTAAATAATACTAAAATAATGATGGACAATATTTTACTTTTCAAATAGATTTCAATAGATTTTAAAGGGTAATATCCAATTTGTTGTCAATGGAAATAAAATAAGAATGGGTCCAAAAATAATTAGACATTGCCAAGTAAATAGGTGCTGCCAATGATGTAGTAGGGAATCTGGATTTGCAGACAATACATGCATGAACCGGGTGAATAGTTGACCTATTATGAGACTTCAGTCCCAAATCTCAAGACTTTTTTCTGACTTGGCCTGACAAAGACAGCTGTCTAGTCCTTCCGATGAGACGAATATTGGAATGCACGTAAAAGATCCCCTGGCAGTTGGAATTCGATATAAGAATAGATGATAGTGCCGCTGCCCGGGCAAAAATTCCCTCATAGTGCACTGTGTGGCATATGCCCGTCATTATTAGCCCAGTATAGGAGCAGAACAGTAGGACGTTAAACCCCATTTCATTTCATTTTTCTGACTTTTAACCCATTTGATTTGAGCATAATAATCTGCCTGGGTCTTTAAGTGGACAAGACACAATAAGCGTTATGCAAAGTTGAAACCAAATAGAGACTCAGTCTCGATGTGGCAAAATAAATTGTTTATTTAAACATTGTATTCTTATTGCCTACTTTTTATTTTTTAGGCTGGAACACCCTTGAAAGAGTATTTGATGTATGATAACAACGAGAGAACCCAAGCATCAATTTATTTTATACTTCTGGGAAAGAATGCATTTGACCCAATTTTTAAATATTTATTTTTTGTTATTAATGTTAAATTTTCTTCCAAAACACAATTAGATTTTAATTCTCTTCAAATATGTATGTATAATATAGCAAGTAAACTGACATATAAATCACTTAGAATTTGGTCGGAAATCATAAAGTATTTAATAGGCATTACTAGAAACCAAATGTAGATCAAATACACCCAGAATTACAAAAAACCTTGACCTACATTAAGGTGACTTTCCCTTGCTTATGAAATGAAATACGTTTTAATATCCTGCTTTTCTGTGTTCTTAGAGTGATTCTACCCTACCCTTATATCAAATATTTCAACTGTCAAGGGTTCTTTAAAGGGTACCCAGGGGGGCCGAATGGTTAACACGCACACATTTGATCAGGTCTGTCATTGATTCAAATAATTCAATTTTCAAGGGTTCTTCAAAGTGTACGCAGTTGGGTTGGTTTCGATTCTGGGGGGTGGGGTGGATGGCCGAATGGTTAGCACGTGCATGCTGTATCATACGGCCTCCTGTCATTGAGTCAACTGGCATGGTTTCGAATCCCCGGTTGTAGACAAGGAGTAGGGTCGCCTGTCCAATCTTGTGGGTTTTCTCCGGGACCTCCGGTTTCCTCCCACTGCTAAAGACCCCTACGCGCTAGCGAATTATTGAAATAAAATTAAACCATATGTTAGTCCCAAAATGACCTAGTTTGTGTCGAGTAGACGTTAAACCCCATTTCTCTCTGTCTCTCTCTCTTTTGATTCTGGGCTTGTACCCAATTATCCCTTGCCATATCCAACACTGAAAAGTGGGAACTATGCCGGAAAATCCAGTTGAAATTTCTCGGCCAACGCCTTATGCTCACTGAACCACTGTGGCTTATGACTTGTGATTGTATATAAATCTTTTGTACATATGATATTTTTTTATTTCAATCCTGTAATCTTGATGCTTTGCTTCTTTTATTTATAAAATATTCATTTTGTTTGGGGTTTTTTAATGAGGAAAAGGCTCTACATCATTTTATTACTCCTGCAAAATAGAGCAATTTTCTTTTGTTAGTTTTCTGTGTATGCTAGTTATTTCTAGATGCCTCACAAATCACTTGTAGTGTGATTTTGTAGCATTTTTCAGTTTTTGAAATTGTTTCAATTTAGTGCATAATTAATCTTATTAGTGCTTAGTTCGGATGTTATTAAATTTAGATATATATCTTTATATTCTCAGTTCTTGTTTTGGGGTAAAGAACAATTTAAATAGCTATTTTATATTTTGTGATGGGTAAAGTGTGTGGGGCAAAAAACAATTTAAATAGCTATTTTATATTTTGTGATGGGTAAAGTGGGGGGGGGGAGGGGTCATTATATATAACACAATATAATTTGTATTAGAATTGAAGTCTCTGTTTTTCGGTTAACATTTCAAATATCTATTTAGTTTTGATGTATTAATTTACTTTTTCCTATGATTTTATGAATAAATAATAATCTTACAAAATTTTTTTTTGTTTCCTTCTTTTATCAAACTTTACAGGTCTAACAGAGCAAAGAGAGGGGTCCTGCATAGAAAGGTTGCTATGCTGGATATAAATTGGGGAAAAATAC